CCGGACTGAAAGTCTGGGGGAGGGGGCGCGGGTCCTGGGAGGTCGCAGCCAAGCCAGCGAGCGCAGCTGCCAAAGTCGGCTGCCCGGGTCAGCAAAACTTTGTCTTTCTGTGCGCAGGCGCAGGGCAAGGCTGGAAGGGGGGGAGAGGGGGGGCAAAGGAGGGAGGGGAGGAATCCCGAGGCTCAGGAGGAGGGGAGAGAGGGAGGAGGGAGGGTGGATTAAAATAAGTAGGCGGCTCGGGGCTCAGGGATGAGTGAGTCGGAGCTCGGCCTCTCCCCAGCACGCTCTCCAGCGCTCCGGGTTCAGCCCCGACGAGCGAGCGGCGGCGAGCGAGGCTCTCCATCCCCCGGCCGCCAGGACTTGCCCGGCCGCTGAGCGCTCCCGCGCGTCGGGCGCTCCAGTCCGCGCCGCCCGACAGGGGCCGGGACCCGAGAGCTCCCGGGGGGTGCCTGTGTGACCCAGCGCCTCTGGTTTCCCGGGTCCCCCGCAGCGAGTCCCTCAGACGACCTCTGCACCCCCAGAACCGCCAAGGACCCAGGTAACTGCAGCCCCGGGAGCCCCAGCTTGGTGAAGGGAGAGTGTGGGGTGGTAGATTTTGGGGGTTCTCCGTCCCAGTCCGGCGGGCGCCTCTCTCTCTCTCTCTCTCTCTCTCTCTCTCTCTCTCTCTCTCTCTCTCTCTCTCTCCTTCTCTCTCTCTCCTCTTTTCTCTCTCTTCTTTCTTCTCTCTTCTGTTCTCTCTCTCTCTTTCTCTCTCTTCCTCCCTCCCTCCCTCTCTCCTTTCTCCCTCCCTCTCTGGGTCCCAAAAGGAAGCTCTTTTTGCCCCGTGAAGACTGCAGGATCTTTGTGAAAGAGACAGAAGATGCAGCCCGGAGAGGCCGGAGCTGCCGCGGCCGGGTTCCGACCCCCGCGGGATGAGGGGGGCGGGACGCATCTAACTCCCCGCCGCGCAGCCGGGCTCCGCGCAACCTCGGGTGAGGTGCCCACGGACTTCAGAAGTCAGCCTGCGGCGCCAGAAAAAAAAAATCCCAGGCAACTTCAGTGGGCGCTAACTTTCTGGAAACGCGCGCCTGGGCTTCGCCTGACCTACCTTAGTGACTGCAGGAGGAAGCGGGAGCGGATACCCGGCTCTCGCCGCGCTTGGGACAGGTGCATGCACGGTCCTTGCAGGTCGGCGCTGCGCTGCCCGTTGGTCGTTGTGACCCAGTGGCGCTCGGGTCTCTGAGGCCGGTTTGGTACCAGGAGCGAGCGGCGGCGGCCGGTGGCCTGTGGCCTGACCCGGCGGGAACACTTGCGCTCTGACTTGGGGTTGCTCGCAACCAGGTGCTTGCTCCGTGGTCAAGGTCTGCAGCGTGAGACCACGACTATGTGGCTTAGGGAATCCGATGCGGGTTGATGCGCGCACGGTTTCCCGCGCGGGAGCGGGAACGCCAGAGAGACGCGGGTGCCTGTGGTTTGGGGATCGGGAGGGAACGATCCGCAGGTTTCTGGGGACTGTGGATAGCCCCAGCTTTTAGGAGAAAGATGTGAGCCAGACGGGAGAGGAAAAGAGGTGAGGGGCTGCCGAATGAGTAATTTCCACCCCCCCCCACCACCACCATCCCTCCGCCCCTTAATATATTTGATGAGAAGAACGAAAATCCACACGCAGTTCTTTTTTTCCCGCAGCGTGGGAAGTGGCGAGGTAAGCGCTGCGAGTGGGAGCGAGCAAGCTGTCTTTGTGACTTCAGTGTGGCAAATTTCACGGGGGCTAAGAGGTGCGCGCCGGTTCTTGGGACCAGAAACCACCACGTGTAGGATCTAGAGCGGGTGTCGCGGGTTCACGGCGGGGCTGGCGGGGACTGGGAGGGGAGGAGCGGGGAGAAGGTAGGTCCTTTTGCGAGGCTCTTCGAAGTTTCTCTGTTTGCATTAAGAACCGGGAGCAGATCGCCGCCAAGGGCGCTGGGGCTGGGCAGAGCCGCGGGATGACCCGCCTCGCTGAAAGGTTCTTTCGCTCTCGTTTCGCCGAGACAATTCGGCCGATGCAGCCGCCGCTGGTCCATCTTCCCGCCGGGAGTCCAGACCTTGCCACGACTCGCGCTGGGGATTCAGATGTCAAGGATGATTTTCTGGGGCTGCCGCTGCTGCTGGCCTCCTCCAGGCGCCAGCTCGTGGAGTTCTCTCCGTCCTCATTAATGCAAGCAGTTAACTCGCTCACGCTCAATTAGCCCCGAATAAACCACTTTAATAGACTCTGCACACTTCATTAATGCCCGGCACAGGGCTGGCGGCAGATACGGGATTGGGTCTCTACACCGATTTATTAACCGGTGCGGGTACAGTGCGGGGGATCGGGGACTTCGACGCTCCAATTTCATTTGTCGTGCGGTGAACGTACCCTGATCCGCACTTCGAATGCGTAGAAGCCCGGTAGGACGCGTGGCCCTAAGACAGGTCTTCTCTTACGGTTAGGAAATTTCGAAATTTAAAACTAACCCACTAAGGGTTGGGAGTGGGAGGGGGTGAGCTTTTGGGACCTGGAATTTCTGTTCTGCTTTGGCTTGTGGAACTGGTGTGAGACCGTATTTATTTATTTTTTTTCTTAGCTAATCGTCTGATGCAGGATCGTGCATTCGGGTCATTCTTGGTATTAGTGTCGTTTCGAACGAATTTTGTCTCTGCGTAGGTCCTTGGCGAGAACCTGGGCAAGTAGCGGCAGAAAATAAGAAACTGACAGCGCCGCGGAGCAAAACTAAATTTGAGCATTGGTCGGGGCAACAAGATCAGGCAAAGAGCCTGGAAAGAAAGTTTGCTTCCTGAGACCGTAGCCAGTGCCCCCTTCCTCAGATGCAGCAGGAAAGTCCAGATTAGTCTCCAAGGTTGTGGGGGTGCTTCCAACCCAGTGGACACCACTGGGCATCAGCAGCTGGGGAGGTCACGGTGTTGGTTTGGTAGTGCAGAGGCCAGATCAATCTTGAGACCAGCAGGCGGAGGCCTTGGTGGCGCCCGGTTGCCCAGTCGAGCCTGGGGGAGATAAGGATCTGATTTCCAGCGCCTGGAGGGGAAGAAGAGGTGACAGCTGAATCAAAGAGTGTCTACCTCGCCCAAGTTAGCACCGACCTTTGAAGTCTGCAAAGCTCCTATCCGGCTCCTTCCTCCCCAACCCAAGCCAGTTTCAGCTCTTTCTCCCGTCCAAGTTACTGTTTGCTTCCCTGTGTCTCTAAACTCTAGAATGATCTAGGTTTGTCCCTCTCTTGACTGGTATAGAAGAGGAGTGAATGAGAGGTGAAGGGACACGTCCTCAATCCCCCCCACCCCCTTCTAGAGGCAAGATTACTGCAGATTTGCCCGTTTTCTAAGCGGTGAGGCTGGACCGATTTGCCAGTTCCACTTGCTTTCTGTTTGTCAATTTAAGCAGTGCAACCAAAAGTTAGCTCTGGGATTTTCTACTCACCTTCTTAATGCAACCCACCACACTTTCCTGCCACGTCTAGGGGAAAAGGATTTCTGGGTCAAGATTATCCTCAGACTTCAGGAGGGGATGGGGCAGTTGCCTCCCAGTAAAAGTGTCTTTTGTATGTAAAGCCTGGGCTGAGCATCAGTTAGGCATAAGCCGCCTGGGTAGGTGTCTGTGTGTCCTTTCCAGGAGGAAGCCAAGAGGTGAGTGGTTTACAGACTCCAGGTAGGGAATTTACTGCAGGTTGCAGGACGGTATTGAGGAACAGAATAGAAGGAATAAGGATGGAAGATGTGGGTAGCAGAAAGATGATATCTAAAAGAGATACTTCCCAAATAAGTTTCCACAATGACCCCGTCAATTATCTCTGTTCAGATACAAGAGGGAGTTCAATATTTCAGCTTCCTCTATCCCTCACCCCCATATACTTTGGGCTTCCTTTCTTCCCTTTCTCCCTCTCCTAAGCAGACTTGAGTTAGGGGTGTCTGGGAGAAGCAGAGAAAAGAGGTCGCTCAGTGGAGCCTAGATCTCTGGAGGTACTGGCTAAAGAGACCAGCAGATGCTAGGGCACAGAACCCTCCCGCATGTCTTCGTTTGAGCCTTGCAGTTGGGAAGACAGACCCCAGCAGTAAAACCCAACCTCAATTCCCCTGTCCTGAGCATATCCACCTGCCCCAAGCTCACGCCACACCTAAACATCCTGAAAGCCGAAAGATCCCTCTCCCATGGGTAGGGACGACACTGAGGTCCTCTGGATGCGACTGCAGGTGGTTGAGTGAGGGAATCTGTTTGGTAGTCCACTTGGCTGTCCCTTGGCTGTCCGTGTTGTCCTTGAACTGACGGTGTCTCCTGGAGCTATGGTAGAGTTCAGTTCACAGACAGCAGCTCTGAGCATGGTGTCTTGTCTACAGGGCCCAATAATGGTGAGGAAGAAGAGCAAATCTGAGGTCAAAGTTGAGAGGTGGGGGGAAAAGATGTCATGGCATCCAGAAGCCATAGTGAAGGTCAGCGAGGAGACCTGAAGGGACAGGAGCTGGCGATGTGCTGCTATGTGTGCTGTCTAGGACCACCCCCAGGTGCTGTTGGATCCTCTGTGTGTGCTCACGGGTGGAACTGTGTTTCATCCTGGTGGTCATCCTACTTTATCTTCGCACTTTGTCGACTCTGCTTCAGAATGTGTGAATCCGTGTTTATTTGTCAGTATGCACTTCTGTGTTTGTTTATCTGCACATCAATGTATCCTTGTGCTTCCAAGTTCCTGTTATCTTTGCAGGAGAGTAATTCTCTGTTGGACTCTGGTTTGCATGAATATTAGTTTCTACTTGTCAGTGACTCGGCATTTCTGCCTTTCTGGGTTCCTGACACCCTAGGAACTCCAGGTGGTGAAAATGTATAGGATTATAGGATTTCTTTTTCTTTTTTGAAAATCAAGTTGTTTATCTCAGCCAGAGACAATTTTCTCCATGAGGGCAGAGTTTGGTGTAACTGAATTCTAATTCCAAAGAAGGTCCACCTACCCTGAACTTCTCTTTTCCTCTTTCCCCTCCCTTTATTTCACCACAGATAGAAATTTACCGCTGCAACGGCCACCATGGGCAGCAAAACCTTGCCAGCACCGGTGCCCATCCATCCATCCCTGCAGCTCACCAACTACTCCTTCCTTCAGGCAGTGAACGGACTGCCCGCAGTGCCCTCGGACCATCTGCCCAACCTGTATGGGTTTAGTGCGCTGCACGCGGTGCACCTGCACCAGTGGACGCTGGGCTACCCCGCCATGCATTTGCCCCGCTCCTCTTTCTCCAAAGTGCCAGGCGCCGTGTCCAGCTTGGTGGATGCGCGCTTCCAGCTACCTGCCTTTCCCTGGTTCCCTCACGTCATCCAACCCAAGCCCGAGATCACTGCAGGAGGCAGCGGCCCCGCGGTGCTCAAGACCAAGCCACGCTTTGATTTTGCCAACCTGGCCTTGGCCGCCACACAAGAAGATCCATCCAAGCTTGGCCGGGGGGACGGTCCTGGCTCCCCCACTGCTGGGCTGGGCGCTCTCCTGGATGTGACCAAGCTCTCTCCAGAAAAGAAGCCCACAAGGGGACGCCTGCCATCCAAGACCAAGAAGGAGTTCGTCTGCAAGTTCTGTGGCCGCCACTTCACTAAGTCTTACAACCTACTTATCCACGAGCGGACGCACACGGATGAACGACCCTACACCTGCGACATCTGCCACAAAGCCTTCCGGAGGCAAGACCACCTACGGGACCACAGGTGCGGCACTGCGGGTGGCCGAGGAGAGCACTTGGCCTCTCTCATCTCCCTCCTTTCCCTCCTCGATAATAAGGAGATTCTAAGGAGACCCCGAACTTCCCCTAGCTTCTGGGAATTCTCTTACGAGCAAAAGGAAACGAACTTTCTTAGATATAGTTTCTAGGAAAAAAATATGGGGTTGAACAGGACCTCAGATCGGGTCTCCCTGCATTCCAAACCCTCCCAGCCTCCTCTCCCCTTCTGCAATTCCTAACACTGTGCATCCAAAGTTCCTATAAATAATAGAAATGCCCATACACCACACAAGGCAGTTGAAATATATAGCGAGTGAGATCCAGTAATTTGCTTCTTCGTTTTAATTATTTTTTAATTTTAATCATGATGTGTTAGAGGCTACCCTGTTAGAGGCTCTAGCAACCAGCCTGCAGGGGCCAGTCCCCCTCTCTCTCCTACAGTGTTAACTCCAACAAGATAAGGAGGTGGTACTTTTTCGACCCCAGAAGGCAGAGAGGGTTGCCTGGCAGGACCTATTTAGGGTCCAGAACTTGGATGCCCCAAATCTTTTTCACCTTCCTCTTCAACCACAAACTCAGCTCTTTCTGGGATCCTCATTCCTTACCCCCCTCCGGCTGCTGCTTTCTCTGTAGGACCTCCGTTTCAGTGGGAGGGGGTCAGGGACAAGTGTTTATCACATTGCATCACTTTGCAAGGATTAATTCTCTGTTTTTGCTCTCAGATATATTCATTCCAAAGAGAAGCCTTTCAAATGTCAGGAGTGCGGGAAAGGATTTTGCCAGTCCAGGACTCTGGCTGTCCACAAGACGCTACACTCACAGGTGAAGGAGCTCAAAACCGCCAAGATCAAATGCTAAAAGCAACCTCCGGGTCGCGAGGACGCTGGGTCACGCCGCCCCCTCCTCCAGAGGGACCAGAAGCCAAGGCGACTTTGGCGGGCAGCGGGAGGGGCTCCTGGGACCTTACCCCACCCCAAACTATGTCCCCCGAGTCCCGGGCGCACGCGGAGAACTCCAGAGCCACGCCCCGGGCCACGACCCGGGCAGCCCCGGACGGCTCCCCCAGGACGCGGCTAAACTCTTGGCCAAAAGGCGGTACTCACGTGGCGGAAGGGAAACTGCATTTTTTTTTAAGAAAAAAAAAAGGAAGGAAGGAAAGAAAAAAAAAACCACCACCAACAACGAAAGCTTCGCGGAGCTGCAGCGGCGCTTTTCCCAGAAGTATTACTTTTTTCTATTGTTATTTTATACGTTTTTTTCTTTAAAATTCCCCTCCCCCGACCCCAACCCCCCGACCATATAAGCTTGTAACAGACTGCGTGAGCGAGGGAAGTGGCAGAGACCCCGCCTTCGCGCCTACCCCCCTGCCCTTTACCCCCTCGGGAGCCTGCAAAAGTGTAATCCGTGTATCTGCTTCAGCCGGCGAGGGAGCGCCCCTGCCTGCAGCCCGCCCCGGGCTCTCCGAATCCGAAGAAGCATCCCGGGCCGCCGCCCTGGGACTGGAGGCGGCTGGTCCCCAGCTCTCCCGCTCCGCTGCCCAGTCACCGCGCGCGCGAGCAGCCGGCTTGGAGCAGGGCGTTGTATTGCGATTGGCACTTTATGCTGACCATCGGTAACGGACATTTATCACTGGAGTTTTTTTTTTAAATATTAAATAAACGGTTATTTTACAGGCCTTGCAGGATGGGTAATTTCCCTCCCCCCAGCAAAAAAATTGGGCGGCTTCTTTCTTTGAGAGCCCCGAAGCAACCCTCAGAATCTCGCAATTGTTGGGATTGATAGGGGTGGTGTGGGAAAAGAAACTTTCTGGTTCTCATCTACCTTGGAACCTACACTTCATTAATTTTCTTGCTTTTCATCTTGGATCTTAGGATCTCAGTCTCCCCATTTCTCCCCACCCCCGCCCTTTACCCAAGGACTTTGAGTTCAGGAAAACAAAACAAACAGAAAACCAGAACCCGGCCAGAACATGGGACGTGAGAAATTCCAACAGCTCCCAGTGTTGGGGTCGATTAGGGTCCACATAAAGAACAGAAAGCCACCGGCCTCCCCAACCAATGTCCTTCCGAGGGGACTTCTGCTTTAGGGGTGCAAAGAGCCCGCCCTCCCCCCCCCCCTTATCTGGGACCAGGGCCCTGTCTCCTGGCCCTCCACTCTACTGCAGAAACCTCTGTCTCCCCCAAAGTCTCCAAACTGGGGCGCTGCCGGGTCTGGAGTGGCACGTGTGGTCGCCACTAACTGGTTAAGATCCCGATGTGTCTTCCACGCAGTTCCTCCTTCTTTTATTAGGACCGCCTCCCACCTACCCCTACAATTCTGGGGCGAGAGTTTATCCCCATGTAGCGATCATGGTTCCACACCCACGAAAATTCCCAGCCGGTTTAAATCCTTGTCTGGAAGGGCGGTTGGCCGGAGAAGTTTGGGAGGAGAAATCTGAATCTGCCCTGCACCAGCTGAATCTTTCCCGGGACCTTCTAGTTCTCCCACTATCAGATGCCGGGATGGGGGTGGGGGGTAGTGGGGGAGGGGGGGCTCTGCGTCTGGGGCGGGTCTGCCCTCAGCCCCAGACCCCTGATAACCCAGCGGCGCAGGCGGTGGTCGGCCTTGCCCCAACCATGCCAGGTCGGGCTTGTCTGCCTGGCACGCTGAGGCCACGGAGCAGTCTGGGGGTGAAATTCCCAGAAACGGGGGTCCCTTCATTCCTGTGACTCGGCCCAAGAAAGCTGGTCGGGATTGTAGGCGTTAAAACTGTTCTGGCCGGTCCCTGCGTCGTCACCCCGATCTTCCCTAGGAATGTCTCCTGACCCGGTGGGTGCTAAAATTTCCTGGGCCTGGAAGCCGGATGGAGGGTCCCAGTGCTCGAGCTGGGTCTGCGCGGAGATCTGCCCTTCGCTTTTGGAACCGCGCTCCCCCTGCTGGACACGCCCGGATGGGGCGGCCGGCACCCGGCTACCTCTGGGTGTCCTGCCCCCAAACCCTGCGCAATTCTCGGTCGCAGTCCGGACACGCCACTCCTCGGGATGTCTGGTCTTGCCCTCATACTTTGGCTGGTCTCCGTGCTCGCTGCTGCGAACCACAGGCAGGGCGCTGCCCTGGCTGAGGCGACACTGTTTCATCTCCACCAGCAGGGCAAGAACCCAGTTCCTCTTCCACTCGGGTCCATAAAAGGTGTGCGCAGGAGAGAATGGGAGTCTAGAGTTCACAAGAGGGACCTGTAGTTGCACTGGAAGGCTTAGTGATTTTTTTTTCCCTGCGAGGGGTGTGTGTGTGTGTGTGTGTGTGTGTCAGATTGGGGGGGGGGGACGGGAGAGGGGTTCTTTGGTGGCTTCTATTTTGGAGAGCAGTACAAGCTTCTGTGCACACAACAATCCCCCCCCAGCCCCCACCCCCAACTGCTAATTGAATGGGTTTGGGATGAGTGAGGGGAAATGGTAGTTTGGGCCTTGGTATGGTCCAAGCTCTTGATTATGACTTGTGTTGCGTCCAGGTCAGCACACAAGTTCTTTTACAAGCCGAATGAGGTAGGGGAATGTGATTGTTCTAAGTCAGTGTGAGCATACACACACACACACAGAGAGAGAGAGAGAGAGAGAGAGAGAGAGAGAGAGAGAGAGAGAGAGAGCACGAACTCCAACTATTCCATGTTCTGAGGTTCCATTCTTCCCAGGGACTGTCATAGTTTCCCTCTCCCCCTTCTTCACCTCCCACCTCTCTTCTCCATGCTTAGGCTTTGCTACTAGGAGATTTACAGTAGCAAGCAAGCATTTCCAGCAGTCACTCCCCCCCACCCCACCCCTCCAGGGTGGGATTAAGGAGTGGGGCCAGGCAATGCTCTTTGAATATTCAGGCCAATCATAATGCTCCTGCCTTGGTTTGCTCTACCCACTCTTATACTTGGTGGACCCCAAAACCACTTCTCAGTGCTGTGTGCTAGCGACAGAGTGACAGTCGATACTAGTGACAGTGATCTCATAGATTGTGCAAAAGCAGCAGCAAATGAAAGGAATGGTTGGGTCTCCAACTCCCAGCCCCCACCGTTATGAGCGGCAATTCCTCAGAGATGTGGTTGAGGCAGTTTCCCATTAGTGCTCAGGGCTGTGTGGGCCCCATGAAAATCAAAAACTCGCAGGGTTTCCTTGAGTATCCGTCCTGCAAGGATTGTCAGCTTCACCCTGAAAAGTCCCATTTTCTGCCCCTCTTCCTCCATGCTTTTCTCAGGAGCTAACCTTCCATCTCAGGCAGTTTTTCTGGGAAGAAGAAGGGTGGCGCTGCCTTCCAGGGTTCAGCTGGGACCCTTCATTGCTAGACTCCCTGGTCATGTGTGTTGGGGTCAGCTCACTGGCTGGACCTGGTAGGAAAGATTGAAGACTCAAGCCATCCTGCGCGGAGAACACAGCTGCTAGGCTCTGGGAAAAGATAAGAAGCCACCAGAGGAAAGAAAAGTCTGGGGGTTTGTTCCTAGGAGAAAGTGGGTCAAGCTCCACTTCCTTTAGAAATGTTTGCTAAGAGTTTGGGGCGCTTGAGGACACCCTTTCGCAGGGAACTTCCTTGCTGTGGAATCCAGGGCTCTGACGGGGTGAGAGAGGAGGAGAAACTCGGTGGGGTCGTCTAAGAACCTTTGACATTATCTCAGGGTTGTGTGGTATCCTATCCTCTATCCCTGCCCCTCTGGGCTCTGCTCGGAAGATTTCTCTCTAAAGTTTGCATAACCCGACCCCTTCCCAGAGCAATCGGATATCAGTTCTGTGACAGCAGCGTGGTCTCGCTGACCCACTGACGTCACACAGGCGTCTGGCCACAGCGCAAGGGACCTGCAACTGGCACAGCGGTGTCTCATTTACACGATTCTGTGACGCTTGACGGGCCCCGTCTGGAGCAGTGACACCAAAGGCTCCCAACATTGCCGGGCCCCGTCCCGCAAATCCTGACCCTTCCTGGCGCCAAGAATCGGCTCGTTTCACCATCAGAATCCGCAGATCCCAAATGCTGGCAGGTGCTTTGGAAGAGGGAGAGTGATCGGCAGCGTCCGGCTCCTGGAATCTCAGGGCTGGGAAAGGTGCGCACGCCCCCTGGCCTCTTTCCCAGCCAGAGCAGCCGCAGCTCTTGTCCAGCTCGCCCCGCCCCGCCCCGCCCCGCCCCGCCTGGCCCCGCCCCCTTTAGCTCCGCCTCTATAATCGTCCTACCCAATCACCTCACCCCGCCCACTTTTAGCACCGCCCCTCGCACTCGCCGCCCCGCCTCCTGCGCCGGTTTAGCGCACAGGCGCAGAAAATCCGCGACTCCCGGAGCTGATCGCGATGGGCGGACTGAAGCGCCAGGGTCCTGGGGCAGTCGTCGCCACGTTTTCAAGCATCACTAAACGCTGCGTGACATCGCGGGCACATCCAGCCGCCAGCCTGTAGCCGGAGAGAGAGAGAGAGAGAGGAGCCCCGTGCACGAGAGCAGCTCCGGGTTCCTATGGTCTGGAGCTCCCTGGAGTGGGCTGCGCGGTCTCGAACCCTTCTCATGACTAGGTGCAACCACGAACCCTGGCTTGACCTCCCTCTCTGCCCAGCAGTTCTGCGCTCTGGCCTCACGTAGAGCCAGACTGATGGTCCCAACCACTGTACCGAGTTAATTTTCCCCTAAGGACGCAAGAACACAAATAGCAGGTCAGCCCGGGAATCAGCAGCAGAAGAATTAGGAGGTGGGTTGCATTTTAGTGGGGAAAGGCAGAAAGACTCACCTGTGACGTCTCAGTCCCCTGCTCCTTACACGTTTGGGGCAAATTCCTGCCTCAAATTAGCTTTTCTTCCAAGTACAGAAGAGAGACTCTTCTGCTCTCCTCACTGATCTTGTTAAGTAATTGTAGAGGTCCTTCCTTCCTTCCTTCCTTCCTTCCTTCCTTCCTTCCTTCCTTCCTTCCTTCCTTCCTTCCTTCCTTCCTTCCTTCCTTCCTTCCTTCCTATCACACCCAGCGATGCACAGGGGTTACTCCTGGTTCTGCACTCAGGAATCACTCCTGGCAGTGCTCAGGGGAACATATGGGATGCTGGGAATCGAACCTGGGTCAGTAGAGTGCAAAGCAGACATCTTACCCCCTGTGCTATCACTCCAGCCCCCATAGCTGTTTTCATGATCTTTTCT